GGTGTCCAGAGAAATACCCTATAGTCGAGAGAATTTGTTTCGAGTGACCTGCTGAAAAGACACACAACAGAACTTTTAATAATTTTTTTAAAGAAAAAAAAAAAGAAAAGAAAAAGTAGTGGTTCCTAAAAAGACATAGGTTGAACTATTTCTGAGGTATGATATACTAAGCGGATTTTAGTTGATTTTGTGCTTTGTCTATTATAAAAAGAACTATTTTTGTCATTTCCCGTTATCATTGTAAATAAAACTTCAAAGTCTTTTTTTTTCCACAAACGCTTGCTTTTGTACCGCATCTCACAAAATTATATGTGGAATCTTGAAAACTACCAGCGTACTTGAGCTATCTCACAATTTAAGTTGTAAATTCAGCAATAAAGGGCATATCCAATGGACTTTTGGTGCCTTAGTAACCCGTTTGAATTAGATAAAAACAGAAAAAGGAGATTTTTGGATTCCTGGTGTCCAACATGATAAACGATGTACCCTCTCTAATGCAGACTTGCCTCTGGCATCTCCTGTCTGGTGTGGTCTCCTCCCTCACTTTCATTCGACTGTTTCTACTGTCATAAGCTACTCCAGGGGGTTTGCCAACAGTTTAGTTAATACCATGCTTTACTTTAGTGCGGGTGGCCAGGTTCAAATCACTAGAGGGGGCATTCTCGAACTCATGTTGTTCGAAGAGATTTTGAGGCCCTCGACTAATTGGGCTCATTTCTATCAGAGACACAAGTTAGATTCCAATTTTTCGCCTCTAGATTAACCATACAGCTTTTATAGAGCGGGTAAACAATTCCCTATCATGGTTCATATTCATTAATATCTTATGTTTGAGTAGTAGAGATAAGTTCCCACAGGCAACGGCTGAAATGTCTGCCCTCAGGTACACCTACGGGAAGCCTGTCTCCGGCAAGGCTGATGTATGGGTCACTCTGGACTATAACTACGACACATACGGCACGAGAACAAGTGACAACGTCCTCCACACTGTCCAGAGGGTCAGTTTGTCTTTGTAGCCTATACTATTTGTCTTTGTCTTTGTCTCTCTATGCCTCAGTCCGTCAATGAACCCATCTGTTTCCCTGACAGCGATTTTTTGTTTATCTATCTATCTATCTATCTATCTATCTATCTATCTATCTATCTATCTATCTGTCTGTCTGTCTGTCTGTCTGTCTGTCTGTCTGTCTGTCTGTCTGTCTGTCT